ATCGCTTAGGCGGTTACAGCGCCAAATAAGAAGAAGAAGAAGAAGTTCGAGATTTTTTTATTCCAAAAATTAACTCTTATTCGAAAAATTATTCAGACCTGGGACTGCAATGAATTATCTTCTCCACCACCTCTGTACCATGTTTCAACTCAATACATCGCATCACTCATAGAATCTGGGTCTGTTCCAAATAAGGATAGTAGGGACTTTCCCTGCCATACTCAATCAGCTGAGCGTTGCGTTAAATTAGCGGAGTCAGCAGAACATGTTGTTGGCTAGAAAAAGGCGATCCTTTCATTCGAATTACGTTGCTATCCAGAGAAATTATCCTTTACAAACAAGGCACACTTCAACGTGAAGAATTAATAAAACGATAAGGGACAAAGAATGTAGTATTTGGCTATACTTGGTTGGTTGGTTGGGAAAGCACGGTTGCCTCACACTTGGGGAAAATGTTACCAAAAAACTTGAAAAAGATTACCAAAAAGTTACCAAAAGTATTAAGACCTTTTTTTCTTTTGACATAAACAATGGGCGTTACTTGTATTAAAGTTGCCTAGGAGTTTACATAGTATGATTTCTGCACTTGCCAAATCGTTCAAATACACTTTTTGGAAAGTCATAAACTTAAGGGTCAAAGTTTATAATAACTTTATGTTGAATTTATAATATAAAGGGTATCTAAAAAAAATAATGTATAATATTTGATGCATCTCTCACGTTTTTTAATGGAGTTAATTGATTTGTCAAGCACGCTTGAGTAACACCCTTTCCTTCCCATATTTCATAAAAAAAAAACAGTGCGCATTTTCATTTGATCATTCATTACTGTTTTATTTATCTTTTTAACTTTCTTTGTTAGTAGCTAGATTTTGACGTAGAATACGTCTTACGTTTCGATATGGAGGCTATGCTCAAATGTTGTAGTTGTAATTTTTAAGTTCTGAACACATTGAAAACGACGAGCTACGGGCCGCAGCTTCCAAATTGTTATCTTCATTATCTAAACGCTTTGTCGATGACGACATGATTTTTTTGAACGCGGCAGCGACATCATGAATTTGTATGAACCTTATCTGTCGCTGTAAAAATAGAAAAATCTCAACCTGGCCACAACCACGATTGAGAGAAATAGAGATTGCGCCAATCGCGGTACCGCTAATC